CTCGCTCACGGGCAGGACAGGTGAACTGTAGGCACGTGGGGATGCTCGCCAGGTCCCGAGGCCCCGGCTCAGACATGCGGGGGTCTCCTGGGCCCTTGGCTTCCCCAGCCCGGCCCTGGGCGGTACTTTCCCTGGACACAGGTCTGGAGAGGAAGGGCCAGGGGAGGTGGCTGGCACCGCTGGCCTTGGGCCCTCACTCTCTGGGTAGTGCCCACTGGGCCGGCAGCCAGCACATTCCTGGGTCCCTGCAGGTGGCTGGGAGGAACCGGGTAGGCTTGGACTTCATCCCCAAGGGTGGGACTGTGAATGCCTGGGAAGCAGCTGACCCCAAGTCTGTCTGAAGTAGCAGGCGAGACCTGGGGCAAGTCACTTAGCTGTCTGAGCCTCCACCTTCCCACCTACAGGACAGGAACACTAGCACCCACGGATGGGGTGGATGCATTCATTCATTCACTCACTCACATCCTACATAGTAAAGATGTAATATGCAAATGGTCATCACACCATGAAGCGTAACGACCGACCGCATGACGACTGGATCACGGATCAGCAGGGGGGTGGGGCAGCGAGCTACAAGCGGGCGGGGGAGAGCTACAGGAGCAGGCAGGGCAGCAAGCTATGGGGGTGGCAGGGGGGAGCTCCAGGAGGGCGGGGCAGTAGGCAGAGAGCTACTGGAGGGCAGCAGCTAGCTATTGGCACACGGATTCGTGCGCAGGGCTACTAGTATTCAATAAATATTGCCGGTCTACCACGTGCATGCCAGGCGACCTTCTCAGCATTTAGCAGATATTCACTTGTTAAATCCTAACGCTACCCTATTGGCTGGCAAGCATCACCCCCACTTTACCGGTGAGGAGAACGAGGCACAGAGAAGTCTGGTAACTCACACAGAGTCCCACAGCCGGCAAGTGGCAGTACATGGGTGTGAACCCTGGCCACCCGGCTCCAGAGGCTGCTCTCACCACTGCACCATCCTGCACAGCCGTGCCTGGCGCTGGGGGAGACCGAGCTCACGGGCCGGACGCTGCTCACCGTTAGCAGAATCCGCCACCATTTGCTCAGAGACAAAGCCACTCCCCTCTGGCTCTCACCAACCCTGGGGGGCAGTTGCATCATTTCTACTGTGGAGGTTGGAAACTTGGCCTGAAAGGGGTGGAGGGACCAGACACAGTCTGGGGACCCCAGGGGGCCGGAGACAACCCTTCCCAGGACAGTTGGGTCTTGTGGCCAGAGAGCGGTGCCAGGCGTCTAGGATGTGAGCAGGGGGCCGGCCCGCCCCCAGGGCCCAGGGCAGGGAACCGAGACAACATCAAGAGCTGGAACTGACCAGCCTGGGCGGCCCATGGCGGCGAGGCGGGGATCCGGGCAGCTGGCAGCCTCCTGTAGACACGCCCTGGCTCAGCAGTCAGCCTCCTCTGCCAAGACGAACGCGGCCCTTCCACCCGCTCTCTGTGCCCGCAAGTCCATCTGCAAAAGACAGAGACAGTGAGGGAGGCGGCCGCGGGCTCTCCGGGGCCTGGGCTGCTATGCTCACTGATTCCCGCCCTCGCTCGGCCCCAGGGGGAAGGGGCGGGTTGGCGCAGCCCTGCCCTGGAGGGGCGGCTCAGCTCGAGGGAGAGGAGAGCATTGGAAAGGAGCCGAGGATAATAAACTGGGTGATGGCGGAAAAGCAGCCAGAGAGAGGTGACACTGGACGGGAAGGGAGTTGGCCGGATGGACCGCTCCAAGTGCCATCGGCCTGCACACCTCCTCTCCCCCAGCCCCGCGCACAGTCACACAGGAAAATGACCGCCTCGCGCGGACGCACTCCCTCGGCAGCCAGAGGGACATGAGAGCACGTGGGGGCCAGTCATTGCTCTGCTCAGGCCCTGAGACGTGGGCGGTCCACCGGGTCCCGCGTGCCCCCCGGCCCCTGACCGCATCCCCCACTTCTCTCCCCATCATCCGCTCTGCCCCAGCCACACCAGGCCTCCTTGCTCTTTCTCAACCCCTCCCCCGCCTGCTGCCGTCTGGGGGCCTTTGCAGCGGCTGTTCCTCCTGCTTGGAACACGGTTCCCATAGTGCGTTCCCTCACCGCCCTCTCACCCTCACTCAGAAGGCACCTTCCCTAAAATTCCAACTCCCCCATCACTTCGTAGCCTCCTGGTGTAGTCTGTCCTCCCCGGGGCTTATGCGAACGCAGTGTACGTTTTTGTACTTGCTTGTGTTAGCTATTCATTTGGAACATAACCCCACGGGGTCAATGAATACCGTGTGTAGGTGAGAAATGAGTGGACGGAGCAATCAATGAGTGAGTGGATCAATGGGTGGTCAGTGAGTGGATTAACGAGTGAGTCAGTCAGTGAGTTAGCAAATCAGTGAGTGACCAAATGAACCAGTGAGCATGTGAGTGAGGAGACCGGGGGTCAGGGGTCGGGTGAGCTGCCTGGGATCCCCCCACCGGCTCCTGAATGGCGGAGCCTGATGTATGCCAAGAGCCACGTGCTCTCGCCCGGTTCCCCCGCAGGGAGAGGCTCCTTTGGTCCGGAGGCCTCCTAACCCAGCGGGAACCACACCGAGGAGTGGGCGCACAGACAGAGGGCTAGAGCGAGGCCCTGGCTGCTTGGGGGCCCGGGGCCCTGGGGGGTGGGGCTCTGCCACAGGGTGGGGCGAGTACCGGGCTTTTAGGGGAGGTGGGCTGTGCCCCCGGAGCCAGGCCTGCCATAGCTGAGGGTGCCAGAGGCAGGCAGCACCGTATTTGGTGCCGGAGCCCAGGGCCCAGGAATAGAAACCGCTCATGGGCCAAGTTGGCCGCAGCCCAATCCCCGTGTGACCTCAGGCCCCAAGCACGCTCCTGGCCCCCTGGATGGGCCTGGCAGCTGAGGCCGAAGTCCTGGCCCTCGTCAAACAGCCTGGCACATCGCTGCCACCGCCCCCTCCTGCCTCCCACCTCCCCCTCGGCCCCGCGCCGGGAGGTACTGCAGTTAGCAGTTCGCTGTGGGGATCTCTGTGTCGTCACCCCCACCCCATCTTTCTGGGCAGGAAGTGGGAGTGAGACGGGACGGCTGGTGGAGACAGAGGGCACGGACCTGCCAGACCCCCCCTGGCCTCCCACCTCGGGGGCATTGGCATCAACGTCCAGGTGTAAGTGGCTGGGAAAGGCTCCCTACCTGGCACCTGGCACCTGGCACGGCCCACACCCAGCTCAGCCCGCAGTGGGCGCGCCCCCTCCTGCCCTCCCTGGGCTCCGTGTCCAGGCAGCGCTGGCTGACCAGGCCCCACGCA